AATTAAAAGATAGGATGAGCAGAATTAACAGTGGACAACGCCCGAACATTGTTGGATTACCTTATTGCAATCAGTACAATAACACACGGACGTAGTTCACTCTAGAATTAAGCTGGTAGCTTTTATGAATTTGTATTTCTATATACAAAAACCATATAGGCTTATATACAAAAATTATATAGGCATATATACAAAAATTATATAGGCATATACAGTATATATAGAGAAAAAAAATTAAAGGTAATAGTAATATTAATAATGATAATAAGATAATAATAATTATAACCGTCTTGATGATGATCATGATGCTCGTGATTATGGTGGTGATACTGATGATGGATGGCGACGACGACGACGACGATGATGATGATATAAATTATGACGACGATGATGATGATGATGGTGGTGGTGGTAGGGATGACTCATGATGATGATGGTGGTAGGGATGACTCATGGTGATGTGGATTATGACGATGATTATGATAATAATGATGGGATAATGTTGATGATAATGATGATAAACTCCTGATTACTTCTTTGCACTGGGGAGCCGCCAGCGGGGGTGGGGGCAGAACCAGCGTCAACGTCCCCTCAGGGAGAGTTCGACACCCTCCCCGTCTGGGAGACTTTTTGAAACCCATAAATCGGCATACTTTTCGGGGGATTTGCCCCTGGATCACTTTTGTGACATTTTGAGCGAAGCCTGATCACACCCAGTTTCGTTGGGGACATTGGACCCCCCTCCCCCGTCGGGCAAATCCTGGCACTACCCCTCTCTTTGCACAAATATAATGATTTAATTATTTATTCGTTTGTTCCATTAAAGATCAAATTTTTGTATCGTTTAAATTTTTAAGTTGCTCTTGGAAATGGTCCAGGATGCGAAGCGTTCGGAAATACCGACAACTTATGAAAGTTTCAAAGGCTCATTTAATTGAGTTTAGAGACTGAGTCTAAACTACCTCTGTTGAGAAGGTTGTAATTAATCGTTAATATATATTTTTTTATTAGCAATTATTCAACAGTTTTCATTCTTTAGGCTTATAATGCAGTTCTAATAATAATAATAATACTCCCACGTTTTAGCACAACACAACGTAATGTACTGGTAGGTAACGGCATTACATAGCACGAATCCATTAAGTTTGTTTATCCGATTCTTTTTCGTAATTATGGAAACAATCTTTCATAATAACTCCATTTCGGATATTGAATAATGTAATTCTAATTCCGTAGTGTATGACCATGCAATGCGATTTTAAAGGCCTTATTTGAAAATTATATAAATTTAAAAGGATCAAATTACACAAACTAAGCATTTATTTTACATTTAATTCTATATAATATTTATATTCACTTTTCTTTTTCGTAACAAATTTTATTTATAATTTATAGCATTATGCAAGACGGTTTAATTTATCTCTAACATATCATGATTTATATATATTTATATAGGCTAATAGATTATATATATATATATATATATATATATATATATACTGTATATATATATATATATATATATATATATATATCTAGATGTGTATAAGAGACAGGAAGGAAGGTTGTTCCTGAGATAGTTAGGCAGTCTGTCCCATGATGCGCGGGAAAATGGTTAAAAACAGAGCAAAACATTACTTCTTGTTGGTGAATAAAAATGAGATCAAATAAGGACCCAAAAATAAAGGACACAACAAAAACAAATCAAATAGACTCAATAATAGTACTTATACAGTAGAACCTCCCCTTTGGGATACCCTTTGTCAGGGGCAGGGCGGATTTAGGGGACCGGGCCGACCCCGCCCCCCACCTCCCTTTTTGAAAGTAAAAAAAAAACAAGAAAGGAAACAAAATTATCGATTGCCGAAAACGCTTCATGTTATTTTCGGACGTCTATAAAACAAAATATTCGCAGGGGCATGCCCCCGGGCCCTTATGGTAGTGTTGTCCCGATCATCCCCACTTTCGCACCACCCACTTTTGAACATCTCTGGGTCCGCTCCTGAGAGGACACCGTTATTAAAGGGTCACTTTTTTTTTTATAAAACGAGCGGAAATATATCTATTAACACTACACACTAAGAGCCCCTATTAACAGGACACTCTTAAGGGGCCCTTAGAAAGACAGCCCTATTAAGGGGTATTTTTTTTTTTTTTTGGTTTCAAAGCCTTTCCCTTAATATGAATTCTACTGTATTTTATGTTTTATTCTGAATAATTCTGAGCCATAGCAATAGAACATTAAATCACTATTCAAGAAGACCAAATTTCATGTTCGCCTTGTTTTGTGGACCTGACAATAGAATTTATCTTATTAATGTATCTGCCTACTGTGTAATTTATTTTTTTAAAAATTATTATTATAGGCCATATTTTCCTCCACTTCTTAATCTTGTCAATTTTGGCCCTTAGCCATAATGATTCATTTTAATTCATCCTTGTAAGGTACATACTGTAATGTGAAATAATTTCAATATGTACCCATATTTCTAATTCACTCTCTATTTACATTGCCTTGTGCATCCAATATATACTGTAAATCATGTGGCAATGCATGCACGTTCTGTTTTAATTACACTTACTGAATGTAGACTGACTGGCCACAAGTCTCTTTTATTCATTCGATTTTTCCTAGTTTTAGCTAACTTCGGCGAGCGTCACCAGCGTTAGGTTTATGTCGAGAATGTTGTTAATTTGGGTGCGAATTAATCCCAGAAAAAGTATAGTATGGAAGGCCATGCAAATAAATAACACGGAACGCCATTGGTGCCAGAATAGATAATTTTTAAATAGTTTTCACTAATTAGGGACTGGAACCCAGTCTTAAATTTATGCTGATATGGAATCATAAATGTATTATATTTACAGTACATTACAAACTTTTATTACAAACAAAATAACTCTATCGTAATTTGATCTTTTTCAACTAAACTTTTACAAAATCTTGTCATGGTTTTAAACTTTAAATACTAAGAACAGAGTTGTATTATTAAAAAAACCCTATTAAAGATGCAATTTCATGTTTTTTAGAGTGTTCCCTAAACATTAAACTAACACAAGTGAGTGCAATTAACTGTCCAGCTTGGAATTTACAAAACAATACACGTAAAGCAGTATTCAAGTTTTAATTTTATTATTTCACAACGAAAACATAATTTTTCTATAACGTTTAATTACAAAGTAAATTTTATAATAATCAGTAAAAATAGTATAATAATAACAATAATAATAATAATAAAACTGTATCAGTTTCGATATAGAGACCGTCTATTTTCAAGAAAGCATAAACAAATAACATTAACTGATTTAGCTATTGTTTTTAATAAAATAATTAAACCCCTCCCCCAACATTAATTGCTTATTTAAAAATATTAAATAAATTAATAACATTTATAAACACATTACAAACAATTAGGTTTTAACAGAAAACAAACTACCAAAATCATTTGAATTACCAACTAAGGGTCTATGCATCCGTTTTTGTATCATTTTCTAAATTTCAATTGAAAGCCAATAACGCTAAGATATTCAATTCGAATTGAATTCAAATTTTAAGGTTTCTAAAGAAATGTAATAAGCCAATTCGTAGTTAGAATGGACCTTTCCGCTAAGCTCCGCCCCTTGGATATTGTTGCTTAGGTCCCACAAATACAGCAGTGTTAAAACATACGCGAACACGCGAACACGTGCGTTTGTGGGACAACACGTGTGTTTGTAAGACGCGCGCGCATTCCTAGCGCTGTTCTGATTAGTCAGTTGTTAAGTTTGATTGACACTCCAAGGTCAATCGAGTGTAATGTTTGTTTATGCCGAATAACCTTGATACGTTATATTTGTAAAGTAGCAAATCTTGTGACTGATTAACTAGGTTTCCCCCAATTGAAATATTTCTGCAGATGAAATGAATGTTTATCTGGTATCATTTTAATCATGTTTTTATTTTCTTTTTAAACCATGAAATCCCCACTCACAAAATGGTCTTTAATTGGAGGAGACCTGTAATTCATTAATATTCTATAGACATTGTAATTTTACACCATTCTAAACATTGTTATTATTGTTTAATAGACTTGCGTAACACTGTTCCAAAAATCAGCATAAATAATTGTCCCAGGGGAACATGTTTGGAAATCCAGTCAATGGCATTTTCTCCTAGTTCCTTGAGTTTTAGCAGGAAAGAACATTTCTTTCGAGTTGTTTCCACTGTTCCATTTTCGTTTTCAAAGATGACATACTTGTTAGCTCTACCACCAGCATGCAGCTTGTAAATCTTGTATGGAAACACGATGTCTATTTGCGCATCTTTAAGAACCCAGGAATCTGTCCGGCAGACCAGAGCATTGGCAGCATCAATGAGGCCTGAGTAACGTGTATCAGTTTGTTTAATTTTTAATCGATGAATATCATCAGGTGTTATCTCTTCTCCACAATCTATAGTGATGGGCTGCAAGAATAGCATTATTATAAGGTAAATACAACTTGCACGAAAATTAAATTGAGTTTTATTTATTGTAATAACAACAACAATAACAATAATAATAATAATAATAATAATAATAATAATAATAATATCAATAACAACAATCATAATAGTAATACAGTATAACGTTTTTCTTATCAGAGAATGTTTGAACATATTGTTGGAATTCTTCCTTATCGAAGGTTTAAGGTTTGATTCTCTAAATCGATAGTGCAATGATCAATTAATTAATTCCCAAATGGTTTTCAAATATCTATATGTTTACCTCTACCATGCTGGGTTGGTTCTGTCGGGTACTGTTATAAGCTACTCACAGTGGCCTAATAATAAAGACAAAAATGCCAACAATTACATTATTGCATGATATTATGATGCAGATTATCATTTGTTTTATCTGCAGAATGCAATTCTAACAGCTGAATTAATAGGCCTTAGGTTCCCAACGGCCGGCCGGGAGTAGGTAGGTTGCATTGTGTGTACTTTGCACCTATCCCATTCACATTCCTTTAAAGGAGAAGTTTTCCAATTTTATATGGTAATTTGAAAACTGATTTATCATACTCAGTTACATAATATCCCATTTTTTTTAAATTACGAAACTCGCTCACGCTCTCAACTAGATTTGTGATGACGTTCCAAATATCTTCACAATTCTTCTTATTTCTTCTTTGTCTACATGAGCCATTCGATATTACTTTTATACGAATACAAGGATACTATTGCAGGTAATACCAGGGAGTTGTTATTAGCAGCTCCCTGATAATACGAAGGAACTTCATGGTATAGGACTCATTCTAAATCTGTTCCAAACAATGGCGCCTGTCGCTAAACCTGGATGGAGCGATGTACCGGTATCTAATCTAGGTCTAGTTGAGAGCGTTCGAACACGCACTCTTTCAAAAATGAGTACCGTATGCTAAATCAGTTCTCAAATTATATAAAATTGGTAAATTTCTATGATAGTATTGCGCAGTCTCAAGAAAATTGAGAAATACTTACAACTGGGCTGAAAACTGTCATACCAGGGTTTTGATTTGATTTAGTAGGCACACAGTCAATCAATGCTCTATGATATAGAAATCATAACGCAGTACTGTATTCATTTAGAGAGGGGTCCCAACACACGAAACAGATAACACCATACCAGAGAATTTACTTACTACAGGTATTTCGGTTGAAGGACTGGCCCAGGATACAGTGTCAAATTCAGTGGAGCAAATGTTCATCTGGTTTCCAAGGTACTGTAGGCGAATATGCTTGATTTATCAAAATAAAGAAATATCTATTTCAGTGGAGCAGCATCGGAATACAATAGACTGCAGACTACTGTAGAAGCATGGATCAGTGACTATTAATATTTAACTCCATTGAGAAGAAACATTCGTCTATTTCTAGCTCCATGCGGCTTTTGTAAATTCCCCGGGTTTTCCCACCTTTGATATCTGTTCACGCGTACGCATCGCATCGTGGAATTCAGTTCATTATAATAATACAGTGTGAAACTGCCGCGATACGTGCATTACGTGAAGTAGCCATACATTGTAGGGCCAGCTGTTGTATTTCGGAAAGGTACGGTAGTACTTTGTTATTTTTTACTAATATAATTTTTAAGATGCAGATCTATTTCTCAAGTCAGTAAAAATGCATTTCAGTATCAAAACCATGTCTTCAATTCAAATTTCCGTAGCAGGTAAACATTTTGTCTTGAGTGCAAAATACCCGGCAAAATAGTAAGCATGGGTTGCTTAAATTTCATGTACAGGAGCGCGTATTGACAGCTGTGAAATTTTAAACAAACCGAAAAGGATGAAAATGTATATCATATCATTTATTTCGTCGTTAGGACATTTAGAATACGATGACAAACATGATTAAAAAAACGAGCACATCTAAAATCCTAGCATCTTATTCTGTATTTGACCAGTTTGCCGAAACCCAATTTGCCGAATCCAGTTCACTGAAGTTGCTCCTTCACCACCCCACGCTACGACGAGATCGTTGGACCAAAAATAACACTTTAATTTGTCTATCCAAATAATATAACGTTATTCTGATTGCCAATCTTTAATATAACGCCGTGGCTAGAGATACGGTACCGTATCGGAACTTCCGATTGCTAAAGGTACGGTAAATGATATTACGTCATGATTAGCCAATAGAAATGACCGACGCGATTTCAGCTTTTTTGCAAAGTCGGCGTCCCGATCATGAGAAACGTGTGGCGTGAACAGTTACGATCAAATTTATGTCATAAAACTTTAGGCCCATTTCATGTATTTCGATTGGGGCTTATCGCAATGTTTGAGATAAAAATCCTTATTTTTATCGTATTTATTCTTGCGTATTTTATGGTCTACCAATGTTCTACTAAGGCTAGCTAGGGCCTAGCCCGCGAATACCCGCCTAGGGGCCTATTATAGGCGTACTACTAGGCTAGGCTTAGGCCTACTGTAGTGCTACTACAAAGTGTAGAGTCGTTGCGGCCCTGAGTCGATTCGGCCCCGGGTCGTTTCGGCCCTGATTTGGTATTTTTGTCATGCATTTCGGCAGCGGTGCATGGAGCGCCGAAGGTGCGGCCGCGAATAATAATTTAATCGAACAAGGTTAATGGTTAATGGTTATTAATTTATAGAGCGCTAAGCAGTATACCGTTTGTTAAACATGAAACTTACGCTATATTACTGCAACATTATCAGATATTAACAATTCTTTTTAGTAGTATTTTTTTTATTATTAATATTAAAGAGTTCATTGCAGTTTCAAATGATGTTCTTTTTACAGAAACAACGCAAATGTTGCAAGTCGATTGGTTTGGAGACATGTTTCTTTTTATCGTTTCCATACGATATATATTTGGATCATGTTTATAAATGATTCTATAAAATTCAGATTTATATAATAAGTATTCTTATAGTTAATTTAGCGGATTAGTTTGTCATAAGTTTTTTGTTTTTGTTTTGTTTTTGCGTCTCCATTTACATACTAAATGTTCTATTTATAACAATACATAGGCGAATATAAAATAAATTAAAATATAATGAATGATGTGATAATGAAAATAAAGCAAATATATTATTGTATTCATAAGGCCGACAAAATCACTCATTGCATAGAAATTAACTAAAGAAATTATTATCTAGAGTATAATTTTAGAAAAGAAACGTTTTCAACGATTATGTTGAGGTGAAGCAGACACATGGTTTGTATATTCTTGTTTGTTGTATTTACATTGTCGATACATATTTTGATTAGGCATGTTTATAGAATACACAAATAAATGGAAATAGTAAAATGTATAGTTTAAATAAAATTTATAGGCCTACAATGTTAACGGCTGTTTCAGGCTTCTTTTAATATAAGTAAGCCGGAAATTTCACTCACAAGGCCTACGGTATATTCAGGGAGATGTAATTACATCTCCCTGGTATATTGTTGCATAAAAATCGGAAAGAAACGCCCACAAACAGGTTCCCAGTACTCTTTGGGGTGAAGCAGAATCCTTTGTACGCCGTCTTCAGGAATTGCAAAGTATAGTTCAGACTAATTAGACTGGCTATTTTTTAGGTGCACACACACATGCCATGGCAGTGAATGTGTACGCGTCTGTTCACCTCTCGTCTATGGTTCCGATTAAAAAAAAATTATTCAACTTTTTTTAAGCTTTAATATTTCATTTACCTTATATGGACAGGGCCCCTGCCGCAAGAGCCGATCATGAGATGTCCGACAGGGGAACTGAAAATGGGCCGATCGAAATAACATCGCCTTAAGGGATGTCCGCGAAATATTTGTTTTCTAGACAGACGCAACCTCTGAGGCATTTTGGGCGATCAATTTTTTCCCCTTTTTTAACTTCCTATTAAATTAAATTCATAGCCAGGTTTCAACAACGGTGAGGGCCTAAGATAGGCAGTAACAACAAGGAAAGGTCGGAAAGGTTAATATAATGTGGTTTAAAAGCCCTCAAAAACTCTCCCCTCGAACTCTACCAGGGATTTTTTTATGCCGGGACCCTGACTGAGGCTCTAGTTGGCACCTTGATTTGAACCACTGTTGGACATGTTGGACCACCTGTCGGCAAATTATCTTTTTGTATAAATAATTGTGGATTAGGCCTATTAATTTATTTCCTTTAGGTCTACATATTATTATCTTAATTTTCATTATAACTATGCTTATGCTAGCTACAATACACAGTGAGAGCATCGCGTTGGTAAGGCTTCTAAATTTTCAATGTCTGGCTGACTTTCCGCTGACGCCACCACTTTGTACAGGATGCAGTCATGAAGAGAGTCATGGTAAGAGAGTGCTCAGTCGTGGATTGTAGGCTGTTGATAATGTTTCATTGATTTTAACTGATTTTTGGCAAACCGGGTTTCGGCAAACTGGCATTCATGGTTTTTGAGGCAGCAAATGAGTTTCGCAAAAGTGGCTCGGCAATCTGGCACTCGGGTAACTAGGTTTCGGCAATCTGGTCTAGATCCGTTAGGGATCCCAAGTTCCCTCAAAGGCGTGAGACTTTGAAAACCGTCCCTAGAAGGGTTCGGGGACACCACCGTCTCAAACGGTCCGTACCTTACGAACCGAATACAATTTTAATTACCGGTATGTCGCATCTGAGGGGGCACAGCAAACGATCTTATTGATTTCTTGCAGTAGATGCATTAATACAATTGTTCCTAAGTGTGCAATAAACCATTCACTTCAAATTTATTGAAGATGTTTTATCACGATAATTTTATTTTTATATGAACACATTTATACAGTATAAAACATATCAGACTAATTTGTATTACATGGTTATGGTTGCTGTAAAAGTTTTTAAGACTTTACTAAAAAAATATAAATACAACAACCCTTCATAAAAGTTACAATAATTGCGATAATACCAATTACTTCAAGAGAAATAATTAGAAAAAAACGTAATGTAATAGATCTTAGTCAAATTAAACTCTTAAATTGAGAAAAAAAAACAAAAAAAAAACTCATGTACAATAAATGCTGGTGAACAACAAACAATTCATAAAATTGTTAATGAGACGTTCTCCTTCAATTAAAATGAATGAATGAATCAATGAAACAATCGTTCCTTTATATTAAAATTAAAGTAACACATAATAGCAAAATTATTGGTAGTGATCTTATTGAATTGAAAACTAGGCCTATATTATATTAGGGATTAATTTTTATTTATTTATGTTTTATTATTAATCATTCTACAACATGACAATCAAGATAAAGCATGACAATCGTACATAGGAAGAAACCTACACACAAACGAAAATGGAGTATAGTTGAATAGCTCAGTGGTTAAATGCTTGCCTTCTGATCCCAAAGTCCTGGGTTCAATTCCTGTCACAGCAGGACTTTTTCGCACGACTAAAATCAACTCCACTCCCTAAGCCTCATAAAGAGACTTAGTTTATAAAGAATCATTCTCATCCTGTAAGTGGCAAGTGTACATATGGCTTAATAATAATATGAAATAACTTCACATGCTTAGAATAAAATCTATGTATGATACTGTGATTGTATTCGTCGCCCTGGCCAAGCATCCCAGAAAGTGGAATACAAATTGTCACCATACGAAATATACCATTTTGTGAGTTAGCGCTCGGATGCAATTAAACAATTTATTAATTTTATATTAGGGATGTTACTAATAAAGTAAAAACTACTAATCAGTAATACATGCTCACTACACAAACAATATAACGTAGCCGAATCCTGTAGATGCCCATTCAAATGTTAAAAGAAATAGAAGCAGGAAATCTTCGTCAACTCCACTTTTAAGATAATTAGCTCCCTATTAATTTCACAATTTAAATTTTATCGTAACTAATAATATCAAGAGAAATTCAATCATACTTACTTGTAGCGGCAGTATCTACTTTAGTGACTGAATGACTCCTTTTGGAAATTTCACAGGAATTTTCCAGTTTAATCACTGTATTATTATGTTTATACATATGGTGACGAGATAGTAGAATTATCCCCTGCAATTTCTGAATCCATTGATTACTGTTATGTCCCAACGTTTCAATTAGTCTTTAGGAAATGAAGATATATTTTATTATTACAGACCTGTTTTCTTTTATGATTGTTAGTAACCCTTTTATTTTAATAATGTTAATACCATGATAGTCCTTGAAAGAAAGTGAAAATTAAATTGAATACTGAATTGATTGTAAAAATTTAGTTTAGTTAACCTCATATAAAATTGCGTAGAAAATTAGCACTAGAAAAACAAAAATATTGTACAAAGATACTTTATTCATCCTACAAACTGGATACATGGTCAACCCATGTGGTGGCGCCAGGATTTTCCCGAAAAAAAAACGCTGTTCTGCTCGGTCCCCCCCCCCCCCACTACAGTGGCGGCGCTACGGGGGTGGGGTCCCCATCGGGGACGCCTTTTCCCCTCTCGTCGAGGGGAAAAAACCACAATTCGTCGGAGAGAAAAAAAAAATATATGCATTTTCTACATACTAATGGACTCTTAAATCGATTAAATAAGCCTTTGAAACCCCCAATTGTCATATTTTCTGCCCACCCACGCCCACTTTTTTCTCGTCGGGGACATCAGCCCCCCCCCCCCCGTCAATGAAATCCTAGCGCCGCCACTGCCCACTGGCGCTACCCCTTTGGGTCAACCATAACATTACATGGAGTCAAACAGAATAAGTTTAACAAAGAAACACTATTAAAACAACTAAGCTAAAGCTTTAATCTCTAAAACCACAGTAGACCTATACAAAATTACGGTATTTAAAATTAAGCCTATAATTAGTCCGAAGTATTTTCATGATACTGTACATGTACATACTGTACATGTACAAGTTTGAATAAATAATTTTTACAATTTTGAAAATGCATGAGCAAGTGATCATTGAACTGCAAGATAAAAACTGCAACAAAACATCCCGAGTTGACAAATAATGATTTCCAATTCCCTTGGGTACATTTTTTTGGTCTTACTGTATCTGCAATTGGAAGTGTTTTCTGACTGTACAGCTTTCTATGGTCACAAAAATTCATTTGCTCTTGTATATTGAAATTATTGAAGTATCTTTCGATTTTGTGACATTCACATTGACGAACGTATTTACTACCGCTACTGCGAAGCAAAAGGTGAACAGATCTCTAAAACCTGTTAACTAGATTTAATAGCTAATAATTTTCCAAATATCAGCAACAATAATGATGATAAAGGAATATTTTTGGTAACCCATTCAAAAGTATTAGCTGTTGTTTCCTTGAGATACAACCACCAACCACAATCTTTTCGAACAGTTTCCACTTTTCCAGTTTCGTCGTCATAAAAAATGGCATACTTGTTAGTTTTCTCACCGGCATGCAATGTATAATGCTGGTGTGGTAAAGTGATGAATATTTCTGCATCTCTAAGAACCCAGGACGGTGTTTTACAGACCAGCGCATTAGCAGCGTCAATATAGGCTGAATAACGTTCATCCGTTACTTCATTTTTCAATCGTTGAATATCATCGGGCGTTATTTCTTCTCCACAATCAATATCTACAGTGACGGGCTGCAAACATAACATCACATCATATGTTCAAGAATTAGGTTTTTATTGATTGAAATGTAGATACACAAAACTTGTTAGGCTTTGACCGCTGTGGCTGATAGTGCTAACAATTAATTTTCAAACTCTCCAACAGCTACGACTGATTACAAATAAAATATGTGCTGTATACACTTTTAGGTACTGTAATATTTATATACTTTGAAAAATAAATATATAGGGCTAATATAGGCCTAATTAATTTTTTTTCAGACAGTGTATATAGACACGGATGCTCAGATCGGATATCATATACCGAAACATAATATTAATAATGTTTATTAATGATTATAAATGTAACATAAATATCAATATCAATAACAACAATAATAATAGAAATATAATAATATTTTTATCAGATATAATATTAATACTGTGCTTCAAATTTTTAAACCGTATTAATGTGAAACTAGAGCACAAAATAATTATTTCAAATTTTGTTGGAATTCTACCCTTATCAAACGTAATAAAAAGCTGTCTCATGTATTCTCAATGATCAATTTACTGTTTTTAAATGGTTTTTATGTTTACCTCTGCCATGATGTGCGGGTTCAGTTGGCCACAGTTAATTACTGACAGCTTATGCTCAGTGTACACTAATTGACCTAATAAAGACAAAACAGCCAACGATTAGTTTAAGGCCCAATAAATTTTTTTATTAGTTTATCACCCTCGCGCGCATGCCTTCTATGGTACTTGAAAAAAAAAATTGAAAAAAAAAAATTAAAAAAAATTTTTGAATAATTTATATTTTTAATTTTATATATTCATTTTTTTCATTTATTTTATGAAATAGTTAGTAGATATTGTTTGCATTATCTAAATCATGTTTTACTTTGAATATCAATGCACCAGCAAACAAACCAAGGGTTATATTTGGCTTTAGCAAAATAAAAAAAAAAAAAAAAAAAAAAGCCTAAAAAAAAGCCTCCGTCCCTCATCACTTTTCCTGCCCAGATAGGGTGATAAACTAATAATATTTTTTATAGGGCCTAATGAGTCACTGAATAGCTAATAATAGACCTAATAAATCTTCCAGTGGCGTAGGCTGGTTTTGGATTGTGTAGGGGATCAATGCGAAATTCGATAGTATTAAAATAAATCCTGATTCTAACGAAAACTTTTTAACAATATTTTATAGAGAAGGGTTCCCCTTCCAACGTATCCTAGAAGGTCGGCTGATATTCAGCGCTCCCTTAAATATAGGAAATACCGAATAGTCATTTCTATTTTTAACCCGATAATACATACAGTACATTCATAACCAGTTTGACTTCTTGTACGTAGGCTACTGTATTTATGACATTAATTAAATTTGTTTTTTTTTTCTTTATTGCATTATAAAAGAACTTTGAACCTTTTGAAATATAAATAGTTATAATAATAATTTAGGCCTGTAAACAAATCTGAAAACATTGAAAAAAAGACCTCCACGAAAAAATAAAAGCGAAATTTCCAAAAGAAAACAAAAGACAACCGGAAATGTCCGCGATACACTTGCAAGTCTGTGATTTATTGGTTTTCCCATCTGATTTCTAATTAGCTGGTTTTAGTGAGGCCACCGACGCCAGGAGGGCCTTAGTGACGTATTAGTTTAGAATTTTCTTTCGGCATTTGTTTAAATTATTGTTAAAAGTAATGATTCTTGCAAAACTTTTTTTATTATAATAAATTTAAATTTAACGTAATGATTATTTTTAAAATCATCTAACCACTTAACACTAAGCTCACTTAACGTGACTGCTTACGCAGTTTAAAAAAGCGCGACTTCGCTGGCGCTTTTGTAAACAAAGAATAATGTAATAAATACGGTCGCTGTTCGTTCTTCTGCTATATTCTTTGATGATATGTACTGTATTTACTGGATTTTAAGAGGTAGGTAGAGGGTTTTATCATTTAGCCTACCTTGGAAAGAAATTCCCCACTTTGACGGGCAATACTGAAAGGATATTCTCGTGTTTGTTGTTATAGTATGAATACTCAAAAACTACTCAAAACATGAAAATCAAGAAATTTCTCACCCAGGGATGGGAAATTTGAGAAATTGAGATATGCTTCCGACTCTGTTAATTAATCGACTGACGGTATAAAGAAACAGAAGACAGATTGTAATACGTAATTTTTATTCCTTTCAGTTCAGCATAGGCCTATACATAAATTGTAACTAATATAATAATAACTTGGAGAAAGTAACCTTATAATTTGCTTACGGTTAAAGGGGTCTAGCTGGTGGTGTTGAGAGTGACAAGAGCCGTTCAGTACAGGCCTAGACAGCTACTGCACAGTGGGAATTTTTACTGCATAGGCATAGGCATAGTCATTAATGTAAATGATAGATGACTCTATTTTTAGCTCAATATTGCTTTTGTTAATTCCCGGGAAGTTTCACTATTACTAAGGTAGCCTACTTTATATATTCTCGTGTTTGTTATAGTATGATTGAACACTCACCCAAACATGAAAATCTTGCCGACTCTGTGTCAAGAAATTTCTCACCCAGGGATGGGAAATGTGAGACAATGCTTCCGACTCGGTTGATGACTGACGTAGAAACAGAAGACGGATTCTCCTACGTAATTTTTATTCCTTTCAATTCGGCCTATACAGTATGATAAACTGTCACTAATAATAACTTAGAGAAAGTAAACTGATAAGTTGCTTACGGTTAAATGTCTAACTGGTAGTGCTGAGAGTGATAAGTGTAGAGACGTTCAGTGGCTTAGCCAGCTATTGCACTGTGGGAATTTTTACAGCAGGCATTGTCAGTAATGTAATGATGACTCTATTTTTAGCTCAATACTGCTTTTGTAAATTCCCAAATTTTTGATGAGTGGTTATGCGATAAAAACTGCTAAATCTAGGTGTACGTAAAACTAAAAGAGCCAATATTCATTGTAGAGAACCTGTTGTTTTGAAAAAGGTAAGACTTGTTTAAATGCAAAACCAATTTCTGTTCATAGTCGAAATTGGCGATCAAAAATAGAGCTAATGAGTAACATTAGCCGAAACAACTAAGCGAGACGCACAGCAAATGCATTGTTTTGCAGTAAGAACATGCATCATAGGGCCTATAAATAAACGCATTCATGCCCCGTTTTCAGCCACGCTTGCAAATGCTTGGGATTTATTGTGTATCCATAGAACTGGAGCTGTTCTTTACATCTCTGATTGGAGTGTATGATAGTTAGTACTATGAATGAGAGGGGTCTAGCCTGTAAATGACTTGAACTTCAAACTTTAAAATGACATATGCTCAAGGTTTACCTTTCAATTTTATCCACAATTTTTCCATTCGCGTTTGTAGGCCCTATATTCGAGCAGGCCTAATCCAGGGCATACGCCTGTCTCCCTAACACTGGTTCCTACCGATGAGGGTCCAAGTACCGAAGGCCCCGATACAATACTGTGTACTGTAGTGATTCTGTTGTTTTAAGACTAATTTTAGCTATTACGTTCTAAGACCGTTATACAGGGGTGGCAGCGAGGGGCCGGGAGCCAGGGCGTCGGGGAGAGGTGGCTCCCTCCCCGTCAGGGAAAAAAAGCAAAATGCGTCGGGGAGAAAAAAATTATATGTATTTTTTACATATTAGTAGACTCTAAAATCGATTGAATAAGCCTTTGTAACCCCTAAATTGTCAAAAGTTTCGGGGCTTCTCCCCCACGACCACTTTCGTAACCCTTTAATCGAAGTTCGACCACGCCCACTTTGCTTTCTTTGGGGAAATCTGACACCTGTCCGTACCTCGGCCCCCCCACCCCCTCGGACAAATCCTGGCTCCACCCGCACCCCTGCCGTTACAGTTTGGTGATAAAAACGTTATTTTGTAGAACCATATGCATGGGTGTATGCAAGGAGTGGGAGGTCGGGAAGGTCGTACGACCCCCTCCTAAATTTTCAAAGGTCCACATTTTTCCCAAAGACATTTTTTTTCTACGGCCTTTTTCACAATGACATAAATGAAAAAGCATTGATGAGGTACCAGCAATGAGTCCAAAGACCTTGCCAATTGCGTGACGTAATCTATCTCAATTCCAAGGAATGAACGTCCACAGTCTGTCAATTCGGCAGCAATTTCTATTAAAAAAAAAAATTGTATTGACATTCTAATCCCATCTTGCTGTTATTTCATTGTGAAAAGGTACAAAAAATTATGATCACGACCCACCCAGAAAAAATCCTGAATACACCTCTGATATGAACGTTTTTACAAAGTTGTGTGAGCGTTATTACGTGACATACATAACCGCAACGTTCGCGAACGGTATAAGAACGTTTGTTTTTGCTGGGATATCTCCTATAAAAGTTAGTAAATCTATATACTCTCGATATCATGCGAAAAACATTTGCGCCTATAAATAAAGGCCTATAACACACACTTCTCGGGGGAGCGGAACCCTCCATAGCCATCGGAAGCATGTTGGAAGTGGTCCAGTTATTATAATGTGTACAGTGTGGGTGTTGGGGAAAATAAAGATTTAGTGCGTGATGTAAAGAGTGCTCCTTCGCAATGAAATAAAGATTTAGGGTGTGATTTAAAGAATGCTCCTTCGCAAATCCTTAGAGCTCGCTTTTGAAGTTTGAAAAGGTGATCGATGTTTGTTGATTCTGTACTTGTCCAAGGAAATAATATTTCAAATTTATTAACAGTCATATAAAACAGTCAGCAATATAAAAGGCATGGCAAAACTAGAGTACTGTTTTATAAAACGTTAAAAGTATGTTGCTTGGAAGCGAATATTTTACTGTTGTTTCTTCATCATGCCAATATTTCCAAGAGTTTCCAAGAAGAGAGTTTTGCATCTATTGTGATACCAAGGAACAAGGTTTTGCTTAATTCGCTAATCTTATTGTTATCGATAAAGATACAATCATTAAACTTTTACACTTATGACTAAATATACGACTACCATATGATATTATGTACTAATTATTTATGTCATCTTATCCTTTCCACCATTATCTATGGTATACCCACTGTATGGGGTACAGGGAGCATCGCAAATTTAAATAGACTTCATATACTACAGAAGAAGGCACTCCGAATTATGTAACGTCTTCTATTTACATCATTCTCTGTCGCTTTTTGTTAAAACAAAAACATTGAACATATTTTATCTATATGAGTACAAAGTTTAATGTTTCTTTACAATAAACGCAAGTTACCTGGATCATTTGATTTATTCTTCCGCACCTTTGACACATATAATAGTCATGATACACGAAACAATAGGCCTGTTATTTTGTTATCAATTTCATAAATAATAATGTTGGCCAACAAAGCTTTTCGTAAATGTAACGGTGTGGATTAACTTACCAAATGATCTCATGACCTGTTTAAACGTTTACTTATTTAACAGAAAGCTTGATATTACTTATTTTGAAAGTTACAATACATGTAAAAAAAAGTATAAATGTCACAAAGGAAGTTGCTGTTTTGTTTGTAAAGAAACTTAGTTTCTATAAATTGATTTCAATATTTTTGTTTTATTTGTAATTGCTTAAATATATTCCGAAATTTTCTATTTTAAATTTTATATCAATATAATGTGTATTTTGTCTCTATGATTAAATTTGATCGATCCCTTTTATTTGTTAGTGCATATGTATGTATAATTTGTATGTATGTTCTAATATGTAAATGTCAAATTAAAAAAAATAATTGTTTTTGTTTTAAATTAACTGCCTGAAAACAATTGTAATCATTATGTATCCATCTACAAATATTCGAAATGTGTTGTATACAAATTTGTTATTGTTTTACTATTATATAAATTATCTATTCTCTAATTTATCATTATATATTAACCATTTGACATTAATGTTTATGTATTAATATTTTATTCTTTATTTCATGTATTTATTTATTGATTAATTAATCATTTGCTTAAATTATTTATTGATTGATTAATGTATTTAATTATTTTTTTTACTTGATTTATTTTTTCTTTTCAAAATTGCACCACAGTTTTAAAGCTTATTTACTTGTTTGTGGTTGTCCAATTCCTTTCCATTTGATGCATTTGAATTGTACTGTTTTTGATTTGGATAAATACTTTCAAATTGAATTGAAATGAAATACATTTTTAAAATATGGCATACAGGTATCTAGAGCCCCAAATATAGCAGTTGGCAACCTGCAAATAGCTACCCCATTCCAACGCCATGCAGGGGAAGATACGGGATTTAAAGTTAGTGGACTAGATACCTTACCAACCTCAGCTCCACATCGGTTGCAAAAATGCCTCCTCCATGCCTGAAAATAGCACATGCATAATTTAAAAAAATGAATGCACTTTTAAATGATTGCAAGTAGGCCTAATCAGGGTTGGCTTGACCATGCCAGTATGCCTTTGTGTGGTGCTGATGTCGTTTTGTCGACTCCAACTCACAAGGTGTTATAAATAGGTAATTGTTATTTTATATTTATACCTCTAAACATTTCCAAAATCAATCTTAATTACTAAAATTAAAGATTAGCAAAAAATTGAAATGTACAGGCAATACAAAATCAAGCGCATGATTGATGTCGTTGAGATTTATAACTTAAAAAGCCAATGTGATGCGAACATTGATAATAAATTCATATAGGTACATACAGTAGGCCTATTTATTTTAAAAATTAATACAATATGAGAAAATATGGTGCGGCCGGTGTGGTACCGACGTCCCTGCCTAAAAATGTATTCTACCATCAAATCAAGTCTGCATTTTTCTTTTTGCCACGAGACCTTAGCCCAACCCCCTCCCCCGACTACAACCTTTCTGGTGGCCTTCATTCATAATGGGCCTACTCGATTCCATTTTGTCCTCTTATCACTCTCAAACCCACCACTTATGGCATCAAAATTCAAGCCCCCCCCCCCTTCATTTTTTTAAGAAAAAAAAAAGAAAAATATATTCAAAGTGCGAGAGTGTAATTTCCGGCCATCTAGAGATGCTTTAATCATAAATTTTCTTGCCTCAGGTGCTAAGGTGGGTGGTTCCTCGGTCTGTGAAAGTCCCTCCCTGGTTCACCTCTCTTTCGAATTCCTGAATCTGACACTGTTGATTTATTATATAATTATTTTTGCGCTTATTTATAATGCGTCTATTGCAATTTTCACTTTATCCTCTCAAACAGTCCTAGGAACGTTCAGATTGCGCTACTTCACAGGGGGATTCGCCCCCTTGACCCCGCCGGGTCATACGTAATTCGCATAACGGCTCCCCCCTTTCAAAATCCTGGCTACGTCCCTGCTACGCCACCTCACTCTAGTTGCCTTGCCTCTGGGTCACCGATTGTTTTACTTCTATAAATGAGAGTTGACATTTTGTCCTTCATCTTGTCTACAAAAAAAAAATGAAAAAATTTCGCTATAGGACTTGCATATGTTACAGCCTACTTTCCTATTTCTCTTAGGCATAAAAATGGTTGCACACGGTGTATGTCAGTATATTGCATCTATGGCTTGCAGGCCGAGTACACCTGTGGTAAGTCTTATTGATAGATATACTAAGATAGGCCTACATTTTTAAATACCAGTAACACAAGGTATAAGCCAATTTTCCAGTTTCCAGGGCCTATTAATGATTTGATAAGCAATAGTAGTTTGGTGTATATCATGCCTGGTAAAATGCAAGCTGGTCCACCGATACCATTATTTAGGACCTTTCCTGTATAACGACTGATTGCCATGCAACTTGTTCGTAGCTAATACTCCCCTCTAGTCCATCGAACAATAGGCCCATAATATAAGTTTCTGTAAAAAATGAGACTACAAGAGGTGTGTAACGATCCAGAATGCTTTTACCGAAGAGCACGAAGTTCCGATCCGGAACAGTTGGTTCGAAGGTGGGGAGAGTCTGGGCGTTTTAAGCTATTTGGGAGGGGATCATGGGCCTGCCCCTGTAAGCTTACAACGTGTTATTCTCTTGTCTGAATGAATTCACAGTCGGTTTTTTGTGGATGCTGCCGGTGGGGTGGGGTGTGAACATCCTTCTGATGAGTTTCAAGTTCAATTCAACTAAATAACCATACATTTTTTTAGGTGGCAGATATGTCCAAAATTAGTCAACTTACGTCCCTCATTACTGAAAACTTTTCAGCAACGCTTGTCCGAAATGAACGTGTGGAAGCCCATCACCAATTTGCACACAAATGTGCAGATTTGCTTAAAAAGGAAATGCAGCAAAATCATTGCAATGGGACAATCCGATCAGGTGAATGTTTTGGAGAAGCAACTGTCAATGAATACACATTCAAATTTAAAGTGCTTAATAATTACGATGTGAAAACAAAGGTAAATATAAAATAGCTTTTTATTAACATGTAAGTAGTTTTCATAGTTTTCAGAGCAATAGTGCAGTTTGTCGTACCACAGATTGTGCGCTCGAGCTCCTTAAGATTCTATCATCAAACTGTTCTGGACAACGACAACTGTTCTGGACAACGTGCCATATTTTGGAATAGACGTTGAAATAGTTCTGTTATGGGCACGAAGAATACGTACATTAGGTCTATCTCCAGTGGGTTTTCTCCATACACACAGTATGTACTGTGTAAGTAATTCACCCCAAACTATTGACCTAGATAAAAATCAAATAAATGTAGAACCAATCAGTCGCATTATGTATATCGATGTAAAATGGAATATTGCCATGCTGACTGAGGTAGGCTTGCACTACATGCTTTGATAACTACCGTAATATTGATATTAATTCTCAATTGTTAATAATTAAATACACTGTCATTCTAGATGAAAGTTATATTCGAAGAATCTAATCTAGCTGAAGAATCAAGTGAACAACGTATTGTTGACATTTTAACCAGTTTATCAGAACGAGAATTTCATACTGAAGCCTTGGAATCTACCGAAAACAATTCATTGCTCGGAAACGGGTCGTCTGCTACTTCGACCGGAGCTAGTTCATCTGAACAAGAATATCAATGTATTACCCCCACGGCACTGGAACCACACTGGAATAAACTTCTACAGTACTGGAAAAAGTTTACCAGTTCATTTCGAAGAAAAGGGTTTTCGAATATGAATTTGATATTTTGTGGTCAGAATGGGGAACGAGTCAAGATTAAATGTAGGCCTAGGCCCAGTGATCAGAATGAGGAACAAGTCAAGAGTCAATTTAGGAGTGTAAAACCTACAATCATGGTCCTTTTGAATAAAAAAAAATACGAGGAAATAGTGGTACGTATTTATATGACACCCTGATAATCAAAATTAATGATTTTTTAAAGAATAACATATTAACATCATGGGCGCAGATCGCGTTCTCCCCCACCCCCACCCACATATTTTTAAGGGAGGTTGGTCCCCCACTTCTAGGCGGCAATGTGATTTGTTGGCACTTAATTTTGACTATAATGATGATGTGATGATGATGAAATTTTACTATGAGAGTTACTATTTACCCAAATTTTTCGCAACTTGTTATTTATTAGGCCTATTTATTATTGGTGGTCACTCCTTAAAATTTGTTTTACAAACTTATTTTGACCTCCTACCGCACACTTCTTTTTTTGTTTATAAAATGTAATTTCAATTGTAATAATTTATCATTGATTATTTTATATTTTATGTATGTGTGGTAAAAATCAATAAAACAAACAAAACTATGGTGGGGCTGAGATGGGTGTGGAATCACGACTTTAACTAAGTAAAGTGAATACCTAAAAGACAATGTTTTAAAGTTTTATTTTCTATGGTACTTTACATCACACAGATTATTTACATCTCTATGACTGCCGAAAATTCTTGATAAAAGATTATGAGAAATTTGTTGGCGCTTCATTTTGACGGGGCTGAGGTGGGTGTGGTCTTACGGAATGCCACCCCCACCTTTCAAAACAGATCTGCGCACTTGATTAACATGCATTAATTTAATAATTGCTGTTTACTATAAATATTATTGCATTTAAACAGTTTCGGGTGGATGAGATCAACAAACGTACTCTGGGGCGACTGATAATTTCACTGTGTGGAAACGAAGGCGCCGAAGAAACTACTGAACAGACCGGACTAAGACGACTTCTGCAAGCATTCATCACCAAGATAGAGGACAAACCCATTACAGGTTTCAACAACATTAAGCTTTCTCTATATGGCAAAGACTCCATGTCTTTCCACATCCTAGCTGGAAAGTCTCATCACCCAAAACTAATTGTGGGATATGTTGATTCCAAAGGAGATTTCCACATAAATGAGAAACAAACAAGTTATTGTACGATTTCGTAATACCTTGTATAATCAGTTTATAAGTTGTGTGACTTCT